CAGTTAGGAACTGCTACTCCACCCCGTCCCCAAATCCGAGTGTTCTAGTGAAGCTTTTCTTAAGAGGTCAGAGGTAACACTTCTCTGGTGTTACAAATTTCAGTGTCAACAAGCAATAGGAAAATACGCAATTTATCAGATTACAGAGTAAAGCACTGTAAGGATGCCAGTTATATTTCTATCTCAAGCAATGGGTTTCCCCCAGGCCAGGTGGCTCAGTTAGAGCATCGTCCCGAGCACCAAAAGGTTCCGGGTTTGATACCCAGTTGGGGCGTATGTGGGAGGCTACCAATAGCTGTTTCTCACGTTAATGTCTCTTCCCCCACCGCTTCTTTTCTAAAATTGATGAAAAAATATCCTCAGTGAAAGAAATAGGTTTGATTTGTGAGATGTGACATTTTAAAAAAAAAAGATTTTCTTCATTATCTTCACCACCATGCCATCCCCAAGTCCTGAATACATTAGCCGAAACCTGTTATCACTTAAGAGCAGGTGATAATCTCAACTCTCTCATAAAGATAGACCGCAGATCAGTTTCTGTTTTCTTTTTTTCTAATCCTCACCCAAGGACATGTTTAGAGAGAGAGACAGAGAGAGAGAGAGAAACATTGATCCATTGCCTCCTGGTTGGGCCCCAATCGGGGACTGAACCCACAACCCAGGCATGTGCTCTGGCCGGAAATCAAACCGGCAACACTTCAGGGCACAAGACAAAGCTCAACCGACCACTCCCGCTAGGCCCAGGTCATGTTCCTAATCCCAGTGACCTAGGCTGGCGATGGTAAGGAGTTTGGAGAGGAGTGTGCCGAGCCGGCACCACCATGGGCGAACTTGAGAGGGAGCGGTGACGGATTTAGAAAAGACAGAAGAGAAGAAAGCTGGGCGCTAGGTGGGATGCTGCCCTCCTTGATAGAGACAGCGCCAGGGCCTGCACGCCGAGTCTTTATTTTATAGCCAGATCCCACAAGGCAAAGTAAGGGCGTGGTCACAACGTTCTCGCGGGTTTCCAATCTACTCAATTACATGCACCTGATCAAGCTTTGTTTACTTGTGGCACCTCCCGCAGCCCATGTCACTCAGCCACGCGGGGCCACAGGTTCGGACCATAAGGTCAGGCTTACAACTTTGGCTATAATTGTGCTGGGAGGGCTTTGACCTCCAAGCTGGGACTTGCACGTGGCTTTGCCAGGAGAGGACCATGCCCTCTCATTAGTCCCAGGCTTGAACCTGTTCAAACGCGGTAGCCGCTCTCCACAGAGGAGAAACTTGGAGTTACACAAAAATGCAAGGTTGCCCAGCAGATCCATTTCTGGAATCACTTTGAAAATGAATAGTCATGTAGGCTTGAGGTTACTGGACACATTGGTTGTGTCCAGGTTTTATCCGCTCACCACCTGGAGTCCTTGAACTGTGTCATTTCCTTTCTTGTGGAGACTTAACTCTAGCTCTAATTGTTGGTTGGGATTTCAGAGTAAGTCTGTGTGACGATCCAAAAACTGTACATGATGACACTGTTCATTTTGGGGTTCAGGAGGTCAGTCAGAGGTTTAATAAGAGTCCAATTAAAGGGCTCCCCTGACCCCAAAAGGTTAAGAATCACCGACAGATTTTTGCACATTCACACACATCCCAGAGACATTCCAAACTCCCATGATGCTCTGCACAGTGTCACAAAGGGATGGCTTAGTAGTTAAAAAGTTAAATGTGTGAGGAATATCATGAAATGACAGGGGCAAGCAAGCAAAACTGAATTAAGGTAAAAATGATAGAGAGAAAACCCATGGTATTTCATTAGGTTGCATTTTATTTAGATAAATGAAAATTTGCCCCCACACAGAACTAGGAATCAAATATTGTCTTAGGTTAAAGAAAACTGCTAGGCTTGAAGCTTACACTGAAAGCTAAAATTTTAAGCCCTTGACTATCTGTAGCTCCAAACAGCAAAGGAAACTTCTGGAACAAAGTAGACATGTACAGAGAGAGACAACTTGTGTGAACTGTTAAGAAAATAACCTTTAGGGGCGCATTTTATAGTCTTCAGTTACAAGAAGTGGCGAGAGTTTACAAGTCTTGCATTGCTTTCTGTTGTACATGGTTCCACAGTAATGCCAAAAATAGCAAAATTTAGGCACTTGCTCCAATTTCTGCAGTTTACACGGTTACTATGAACTTCATAAAGTAACAGCAGCTTTAGAATTGTAACACAGAACCGTATTTCACGCTACAGTTGTTAATAGCATCCGTTAGTAAAACAATGTTGCTTAACAGACAGAGGTACAGAGCTTGTACAGAAGTAACCCAGAGCCCGTCCAGATGTAGTAGGAGCAGAGTCATGAAGAAGACCAGTTGTGATGACCTGCTTGGCCACATGTCAGTACAAATGTGATGAAGTGGCGGGATGGAATTTAAACCAAGGGGGGGGGGGGGGGGGAAGGAAATCTGTTTACCACAAACGACACAAATCTTTAATCTGCTCAAAATAGCACAGTTTCTTCCTGCCAGAGAGAGGAAGTTGAGTCAGTATTGGAGCTCTCATTGAACTCCTTCCAAATTGCTGTCATCTCCAATACGTTTTGGTTGATCTTCAAAAACTGACACCGGCGCCTGGCCGGTGTGGCTCAGTGGTTGAGTGTCAACCTATGAACCGGGAGGTCATAGTCCTATTCTGTCAGGGCACATGCCCAGGTTGTGGGCTCGATCCCGAGTAGGGGGTGTGCAGGAGGCAGCCAATCAATGATTCTCTCTCATCATTGATGTTTCTAAATTTGACACTAGCACTTTTTTACAGAAATCCCAAGTTGGCCAGAGAAGCTATTTAGATCAGCGGTCACCAACCTTCCAACCACCATTGGTCTGTGGACCACCGGTTGGTGACCGCTGCTCCAAAGGCTTCCTTAAACCAGTGGTCGCCAACCTTTCGGACCTCATGGACCACCGGTTGGCAAGCGCTGATTTAGATCACAGGTTTCTTTTTTTTAATTTGGAGATTTTAAAGTTTAACAATTAAGCACAGGTGGCTATTATACATGAGAGTAATTCCTAAAAGTGAGTCAGTACTTCCCAGCTACAAGGCCGTACACTAGAACCGGTGTTTCATTGTAGTCAGGTGTGTTGGTATCAGAGCAACTACTACAGACAATGTTTTATTATAATCAGGTGTGTTGGTATCAGAGCAACTACTACAGACAATGTTTTATTATAATCAGGTGTGTTGGTATCAGAGCAACTACTACAGACAATGTTTTATTATAATCAGGTGTGTTGGTATCAGAGCAACTACTCGTCACTTCTAACAGCAAATGTTCTTTCTGCTCAAAGGCTATTCTAGTCTTTCTAGAATGTTATCCTTTAAAATCAATTGGCCATTGAAATTAAGTTCTCAAACTGGGAGTACCGAGCTGGAGTAAAATTTTTAAAGTGTATTTGCCAGGCCAGTTTACCTGCGGAAAAGTGGAATTTTAGGGCAGATAACAGACTATTCTTTGTGTGGCAACTGTTCAACAGAATCCTTTATATATTAGTAAGAATCAGACATCATTTTTAACATTTAGAAAAATTCCTGTTGCAAGGCAATTTTACTACTAAGCCTTCTTAACATTTCTTTCTAGAAACACTCATCATAAACAAACATTAATGCAGAAAGTTGGCCTTTTCAGGAAGATACCACCAGATGGTAGCATTGTATCAGTACCGTCCATCTGAAAAGCCCCTGGTTTATTTTGGCAGATACCTATCTGCTATGACTTCCTCTGAACATAAACTCAAACCGGTATGAAGTGGTCACGTCATACAGCAACTACAATAGAAAGCTCTAGTCTAGCTTATTCTGCTTGCAGAAGGCAGGAAACACAGGTCTCAGCCTTCCTAGTATCTAATAAAACCAGCAAATCTAAGTGAAGCAAATATTTTATTTACTAGTAAATCAGTTGTCAAATCATAGTTTATCCAAATGAACATAATGCAACGTTGTTCTAAAAGAGCGGGCACAAATATGGCACAGACACAATCCAGCATCGATCAAAATGCCATTGTAAAGAGCCTGATTTGCTTCATGCCGTGTGGGAATGTGGTTCCGCATGTACGGGTAGAACCCAAAGCTTACAGTCAATCCTTTTCTTGAGAGTATGAAAAACATTTCACTACTTTGCCTCAGGATTAAGCCCACATCTGTCCAAACCACCATAACAATTAGGAGAAAAGACTGGAAGTTAATCTACTACTGAAAAAAAAAAACACGAAAAAATACTTCCACTCTCCACTGGGCTTGAAAGAAAAATTTCACAGTAACCACAGGACATTCTGTATGCTTCCGCCCTAAAGATGCTTTTCATTTTTAGCACACTGTGCATCATAGCAAAGTGACCGACTTCAGAGTAATACTAACCACGGGCCTCGTCCTTAGGGAATTTTAAAGTGAGAATGTAGCTTCTGTTCAGGAATGTTATTCTAGGAAGCTGTTTTCACAGGTTGTACGGGAGGCTCAGAGCTGCCGCGGCGACACTATGGCCCATGCCCCATCACAGACTGGGGTACATCGGAAGTGTATTCTACCACACATCTCCTTAAACAGTAGGAAAAAAAAATATACAATAGATACAGGAGGAGGATTACTTAAGACATACATATAAATACATAGAGAATGATACTCCAGTTTGAGAAGTGGAACTAGGTGTTGCCAACTCCAGTTCCAGGTGAAGAAGTCAGGACCTCGGATGAGAAACACGATATGGCATCAAGAGGACGCGGCAGGCGGTCTCGAGGAGGAACCGGTTCTAGCTCCCGAAGCAGCCTCAGGATTGTCGGGGTTCTCTGGGAATGAGATCGGTTGGCGGGCCTGTTCTTGGGATCTCAAAGTTCTGAAATCTTGGTCTTGAGTGTCATCAGCAGCATTCATTTTCTTCTACCACCTGTCTTCACATTCTGGTCTTGCAAAGACACTCGTGTAACTAGAGGAGAAAGAAAGATTCCAAAGTAAAAATAGTCTCCTTTTCCCCTTTTCTCATCTATATAACCACAGAACTGTGAGGGTGAGCTGCAGTCACTGGCTACTCCAATACCATCGTTTAATTCTATAAGAAAGTAAAAGGTGCTCTTCAACTTCAAAGCCAATGTCTGCGGTTCCCTAACATGTCACATGCCTGGAATCTTTTAACAAGTGTTTGTTAGCCCGACCAGTGTGGTTCAGTGGTTGAGCATTGACCTATGAACCAGGAGGCTGAGGTTTGGTTCCCCATCAGGGCACATGGGTGGTGGGCTAAATCCCCATTGGGGGACTTGCAAGAAGCAGCCAATCAATGATTATCTCTCATCGCTGACGTTTCTCTCTCCCTCTCCCATCCTCTCTGAAATCAATAAAAATATATATTTAAAAAAGTGTGACTAATGCTGGAAAAAAATTAATTTTTCCTCTAAAGAGCTATAAAATAAATTTCAGGCAGTATAATATAAACCTACTTTGAGTTTCTAGTTACAAAATATTCAACAGACTAGTTGGTATGGGGCTGAGTGAGCACAACATATTTCTTAGATCTTTGGCCAAATACGCACATGTGGGCCTTTATTTTCTTTGAAAGCAGTCACATTGGGGATAAAATGACATCATTATTTTCATGACACCAAGAGGACTGAATGGCATGTCAATGAGAGAGAAAAAAGAAACTAATTAACCCAGATCTTCTAGTCTGGCGGACGGGCATTCCCCAATGGCAGGTTCTGCCTAAAATCATCATGGTTTGAACTCCTGCTTCCCTTATAGCAAATTTGCCATCAAATGGCATGAAAGAGGAAACAAGTATTTCAGAAGAAACTTGCTTACCTGACGTCTTAGGGTTCCGCAAGTTCTGGCGTTGCCGGCTGCCTCTCTTGTTCCTGTGCCTCCTCCTGTGTTTGTGTTTTGATCTCTTTTTCTGGCTCGCTTGGCCCTTTTCCCTCCTGAAATCCCACTTCCTTCTCTTTTAGTTTTGGTCCATTTGCATCTGGGGACTCTTTGGTTAAGTCTCCCGAGGCCTCGGGGTCTACCAGGGCTGAGATTTGGTTCTCAGGGTAATGGACAGCGTCACGTTTTTCATCTTCTTGGGGTTCATTCTCTGTTCTTTCTCCTAAGCCGGCACGATCACCCAATTCTGGCACACACTTGGTTCCGGTTGCTTCTCTCTTTTCCTGGGTTGGGAGGACGAGCTCTTCAGGCAGCTGGTCATTTCCTGGGGAGCCTTTGACCTCAACGGCCGTGACCTCCTCTGCAGCTGCATTCGCATCTTTGGAAATATCTGAGGGGGTTTGTCCCACGGTGGTCAGTGTGGACTCCTCTTGGGCTGCCTCAGTCTCTGCCGAGCCCTGAAGTTCCCTTTCTTCTTTTTCAATTTTCTGTTCAGCCTCCTGATGGTCAGCCTTTGCCAGCTGGGCTGGTGTCTGGCAGTCGGTGGCTGTTCCTTCGGTGCTTACCAACTGGTCAACGGCTGTCTGAATGACGTTTTGCACAAGTTTATGGCTCTCAGTCTTAAGCTGCAAAATCTCCTTTTCGGCCTTTAAACCTTCCTCTCCCGTTTCACTCACTCTGTCTCCCTGCCCGCTAACCTGCTCGCCGTCTTCTTCGGACTTCCCTTCCTGGGAGGTGGTTTTATCTCCTTCCAGGTCAGCACTGACGCCTTTTGCAGGGGCGGCGGGTATGACGACGGGGGCCGATGCTGCCTGAGACGCGGGGCCTGTGGGCGCTGCATCTTCCCCGTGCTGACCCACCACGTCTTCTTGGTCAGAGGGCTTCGCTTCCGGTTCCAAATGTGCATCTGCAGGCTCCAAAGGTCCAGCTGCTTCTAAAGGCTGGACGGTTTCGCCCAAGACCTTCTTCTCCACAGCGGCAGCTGTTAGAAGTAACGATGCCTCCGAGCTTTGAACTTGACTGTCTGTGCAGAGCCTGTCCGGAGAACTTTCTTCGAAATGGAGAACTTCCTTCTCCCCGTCTACGACGGTCACGTGAACCGTGTGGAACAGCTGCTTGCTGAGCACTTCGGCCTGACTGTCTGTGCAGAGCCCGTCCGCTTGAACTAGCGAAGGAGAACTTTCTTCGAAATGGAGAACTTCCTTCTCCCCGTCGATGACGGTCACGTGAACCGTGTGGACCCGCTGCTGGCTGAGCACTTCGGCTGGTTTGGGCTCAAGCTTCTCTTCACTCACTCGGGCTGCCTTGGCTTCCGCTTCCTCCCTTTCCACTTGCACGACCCTCTCTCTCTCCCCTGGGGCTAGAAGGGGCTGAGCAGGACTCTGGAATTCAGTATTTTCATTCTTTGGACCATCAGCTTCTTCAGTAACTTCATCTTTGAGGGAGACTTCAGTGGCCTTTTTCTGTCCAGCTGTCATTTCTGTGCCTACAGACACTTCAAGTCCTTGAACGAAGGGTACGTCTTTGGTTTCCTCATCAGCAAACTGGCCAGCCTCCTGCGACGCCTCAGCCTTTGAAAGAATGGGTACAGTCTCCACTGATACCTCTTTATCCATATGCTCTGGACCCCCTGCAATTTCTGAGTGTTCTTTCTTTTCTTCCTGGGATTGAAGCCCAGAGGGTGCTGGGGGCATCTCTTTCGGTGCAGGAGCTGCCTGGGCCTCCGTGGCCTGCGATTTCGTACCAGATGCACCTTCACCCTCTGCGTGGACTTCCATGACCTTGACTTGCTGGGTGGCATGGGGACCCTCACCGTCGGCCACCGGGGTGCTGCCACTGGTCTCGCTGTCTGTGAGCGTTTCGGCCGAGTCGGGGCCCACAGCCTGTTCCAGGACGATCTCTGATTTTACCCCAACCAAGATTTCGGCTTGGCGGGGGGTTCTGAGCTCCCTGGACGGGACACTCTCGGGGACTCCAGCGTGTTCTGGGGCGGCCTGTCCAAAGACCTCCCCTGGTGTGAGAGTCTCAGCTTTTGTTTCTCCCGAGTGTCCCTGCAACACCCCGTCCACCTCTTCCTTCAGCTCCGACACGGGAGGGTCCTCTTCGGTCTCCCCCACCTCTGGCAGCTGGGATCCCTCTTTCCGCGCTGTGTGAATCTCGGCTCCTGGGCCCCCGACATCGAGCTGTGACGCTTCTCTAACCTTTTCCGCCACCGCCTGCAGGACCTCCTGGGTCCGCCTCTCCTGGCCCTCCACGTCGGGCTCGCCGCCCTCCGCCTCCTGCACCGGCGTGGCCTCCTCCGTGGTGTCCGGAGACTCACTTAACTGGGAGACGGCCGAGACCATGTCGGTGGTCTCCTCGGCACCAGATGCTTCGGTCGCCTCCTCGGCACCAAACGTCTCCGTGGGTTCCGCAGCCGTCACGGCCTCGGGAGTGGGTTCCACCTCACCGGTGAGGGTGTCCTCACCGGCATCTCGGCTCCCGGGCAGGGCTTGGGTGACGACGGGGCTGTCCTCTGCCCTGCCCTCTCTTTCCAACACCCCTGCAGGGGGTGGTCCAGCTTCCTCGTCGGCTTGTTCGAGGGGCCCTGTCGCCGAAGCAGAGATCCAAGAAGGCGACCTTTCTTCCATATGGGTCACGGCCCTCGCCCCATCGACGACCGCCACAGTCACGGTATGAACCAGACTCTTGCTGAGCTCCTCCGATACAGAAACCGCCCCCTTTTGCTCGGCCGTCTCCTCCCTCTTCTGGGCCTCCTGCGCTTCCGTTTTCTCCCTCTCCACGGCATCGTACTCGGACAGAGGGACCACGGCCGGGACGTCCGAATCGTCTTCGTTGACTTCTGTCGGCCCCGCGTCCTCGGCAGTGGCGTGGTCTTGTTTCCCATCCGGCCTTTTCTTCCTCCGGCCAGGAATGAATTTCTTAATTGAAACCCAAGATTCTTCCTTCCCGGGTTCCACCTCTGCCGCCGAGTGTTCCACACCGGCCCCCGGCCCGGGGTCTTCGGTTTTCTCTTCAAGTTTGGACTTGGATTTCTTCCTCGGGGTGACCAATCTTTTAAAGGACTCCCAGGTGGAAACGCCCTCCCCTTCCGAGGGGCTTCCCGCTTGCTCGGGGGAGGAGCTGCCCTGCCCGGGGTCGTGCTCCTGGGAACCTGCGGGGACAGCCTCTGGTCCCGCCTCTCTGTCTCTTCCTGCTTCGTCCGGTTTGAGGAGGCCTTTCTTGCTCTTTTCTTGGACGATCCCACACAAATCAAAGCTTCCCAAGACACCGAAGTGTCAACCTTGCGCTTCGGCTCCTCGGGCTTGGGCTCCTCCCCGTGTCCCTTCCCCTCCTCTGGCATCTCCGAGGCCGCGCTCTCCGTGGACGACAGCGTGGCGCTCTTCGCCTTCTCCAGCTCCTCTTCCTTGTCGCTTTCGGAAAGCCTTCTGACACGTTTCTTGGGCGTCACCATCTTTTTGAAAGATGCCCAGGGAGTCACACCTTCTCTCTTCTTCTCTCCATCGGAAGTGGCGCCCTCTTCGCCTTCCCCGTCCGGGTGGGCCTCCGCGATCCCTTTCTCCAGGCAGGTGATCTCCTCGGGCTCCTCCGGGGAGGAAGCAGAGCTCTCGCCCTTGTGCTCGTCTGGGCTATCCGGGGAATCCGCCTGGGCCGCCTGCTGCTCCCCCGGCTCCTCATCTCCTCCTCGCTTCGCTTTCTGCTTCTTTCCGGAGAGCTTCTTCAGGCCAGTGCTTGTAAAAAGTTTCTTCAGCGGGCTTCCCTGCACCTTCACTCTCTCCTGGGATGCCAGCATCTCCACCTCGCTCACGATGCCTTCCGGCTGGGCAGACAGCGCTTGCTCCTCGGGGCCTGGTTCGGGGGGCTGGGTGTGGTCCCCTCCAGGCGCGCACACTGGAGGTTCGGCTGCCTGAGGCCCAGCGTTGGTTTTGGCCAATGTCTCAGCCGGTTGGGGCTCTTCTGTTTCCTCCACCTCAGCTTTCTGCTCCTCTGCATTCTCCGCCGTGCTCACGTGGACTTCTGCGACAATCTCTACCTTTTCATCAAATATTTCTGTTGCCAACGGGGCGGATCTCTCTTCAGGAGGTGCCTGCCCTTGACCTTCAGAGGGCAGCTCCACCTTTTCATACTCAGCTGATAACCTGGCATCGTGGACACTCTCTGTGGCCTCCCGTGGCTGTGGTTGTTCCGAAGTAGCCAGTTTCTCAGAGGTATCTCCTGTCTTTTCCTTTTCTTCTGCGTCGACTCTTTCTGTCTCTTGTTCCTTTTTCTTCTCCGAAGCTTCCAGCTCATCCTCCTTGGGCTTCCTGAAACTGGTCTTTTTGCGCCAGCCAGCCCAGCCTTGAGTGAAGAATTTTTTGAAGGGTGACGCCGTTTCGCTGGCCACTGGACTGGTCGGAGAGTCTGGAGATTTGGTGGGTTCTTTTTCTTGTTTTTCTTCTCCATCTTTGCCTTCCTCGGCTGCTTGGCCAGGCTCAGCTTGAAGGGAAATCTCCGTGCTGCTCTGCTCGGGTTGCAGGGGCTTCTCGGGGCTCTCTGTGGATTGTTTCAGTTCATTTTCTTTGTGTGTTGCTTCTCCCGCCTCCCGGCTGGGCTCCTGGTGGTCCCCAGCCCCCTCTGACTCTCCTGCTCCTTCACCTTCCTCTTTTCTCACAGTCAGTAGCTGGACCGTGTCAGACTTCTCGCTCTTATCCTTCTTCACGGTGAATTTAAAGCCAACAAACTTAAACACCTTCTTAAATCCAACGTCATTAGTCTGGGACTCAGCAGGCTGCGTTAGTTCTTCTAAATTGCTTTCCGAAGAAGGAATCTGCTCAATTATTTCAGGCATTTCCTCCTGCCCATCCTTTGTGATGTCCTGAACAACCGATGAGTTGGCAGCCATCTCTTTATCTGAACCTCTTTCATTCACATCTTCGGATTCTCTCTGTCCAACTGTTAACAGAAAAAAAAAGGGGGGGGGAGTGGAGAGAAGGGATAAAATATTACAATTCACGAAACGAAAACATTTTGAAAACACAACTAGCTAACACTTTCTTTAATGTCAGGCAACTCCAGGATAGGCAAGGGTCTTATCTAGTATTTGTGAATCTCAATAGATTAAGGCAGTGTCTATTTCTTTCAAATGACCTTAAAAAATTCAGGTTTAAAGGTACTACTCTTCTCTTTCTGTGAAGAGAAAGTTAACAATCTCAACTACCAAAAAATGAGTAGCCACAGCATCACAAAGGGCGGGTCAACCAGATAGTGTACATTCTGTTGCAATGAAAAATGGAATCACATATCACACCCATGACCTAGAACCCACCAAGTTTTAGACATAACTTATTCCACTGTATAGGAAACACAGGGTTAAAGAAATAAGCGAATAACAACACAATAAGTAACTAGACAAATCGAAAGGAGGGGCATTCTATGTGACCACTAGTCTGGTCTCTAGCAAGTCCCCAAAAAACACTAGAGCTCCTTGGGAAATTCGGTTGGGTCAGGGAAAGTATGAAGAATATTTTTCAGGAGAGCAGAAAAGAGGAACTCAAAAGCTGAGGGAGGCACAGCAAAAGGACAAGAGCCAGCTTGAAGGCGCTCCTTCCGGCCAAACTTTGAAGCATAAAAAAGAATAGTAACAGTGATGGTTACCATGCATTTAATAAAATAAAAAATCCATGAATGGAGAGTGATACTAAAGCCCTGGCTGGTTTTGCTCAGTGATTAGAGCGTCGGCCCTATACCTAAGGATTCAGGTTCTATTCCTGGTCAAGGGCACATACCTGGGTTGCAGGTTTGATCCCTGGCCCCAATCAGGACTCATGCGAGAGGCAACCAACTGATGTTTGTCTCTCTCACATTGATGCTTCTCTCTCCCTCCCTCCCTTCCACTCTCTAAAAATCAATGGAAAAAAATATTCTCAAGTGTGGATAAAAAAAATAATAATAATAAAGAGTGATACTAAAAGCATAAATGGGAGCAGGGAGTACTTCCTTACGAAAAAAAAATGCCAATCAATCAATTCAGATATAACGTCCATTTTGATCCTTATAGTCATTCTTCTACATCAAGAATTAAAGATCTCTTTAAGTGTATTTCCATGCTATGCACTACTTCTTACAAATGCCTCCAATTACAAAAACATACTCACAAACACTTCTTATGCAACACAAGAGGTGTGACCTTTTTTGAAAAGGTGGATGATATCATTGGAAATTCACCAGAGGAAATATTTCAAAACCCCCCCCCCCCCCACACACACACACAATAAACTCTATTCTAGTACAATTTTACTAATAAACACAAACATAAATTTCCTGCCACTAAGCATGAGGTAAAAACAAACCCATTCACTAACCTTTCTAGAATTCAATAGGACATGCAGGGAAACTTTGCTCACATAGTGGGAAAGCAGGTGTTAACCACACCATCCTCCCGCCCCCCTCCCCGCAGCCCTCCCCCCCACTTTTCCTTCCATGCTCCTACATCTGCATTTCAATCTGCAACCCTTTTTCTTAAATTCTGGGAGGATGGGGACATGTTTACAGTCAAAACCAGGGAAGCAAAGATGAGCAGCTGCCAAGTGGCGAACAGAACAGTTAGTTACTGGTAGTGTGTATAGCTTAGCAAGATTCAGATGTTTTCTTTACAGAGGGGAAATATGGGCTGAGCACATTAAAAAATGTATACGTATAGGATTACAAAAAATTTTAAATCCTGTCAACTGGCCTGTAGTCTCTTTTGACCTAAGTAATCCTAGGAGCTCCTCTAGTGAGAACTCTTCCAGACGGGCCGCTGCGGGCGCAGATGGCGCCCTCGTGCTTTGTGCAAAGGCTGGGCAAAGGCAACTCGGCCCTGATTTCAGCTGCACCAGCCTCCTGCGCCCCGCGGACCTGTTCGGAGACGCCCTGCTTCCTAAAGCACCGCTCTGATCACCTCCGGAAGCTGTCACACACCTTTAGTAGCCGCAGGACCGGAGGGCGGCCTTCCAAACTACCGAGCCCGGCGGCCAAGGCTGAAACTGGGTTCCCACATAAAAGCCGACCAGGATCGCACACGTGTGCCCCACCGGCAGGTGTCCTGCCCCAACCACGTGCGACTGCGGCTACGCCCGGAACTGGAACCCGCCTGGAACCCGGACCCCGCTTTCTGCCTCACTGTCCATGAGTCGGCCGCACTCGGCTCACGCTGCTTGCCAAATAGCCATGCCTGTGCCCTCCGGCTCCGCACCCCCCATTTGGTCACCTCCAAGCTCCCTTCGGCCCTCGCTAAAGCTGCTGATGTTTCTGCGATGCAGCATTTTCCACCCCTGCTCCCGCCACTAACGGAGAGCCATTGGCCCCTAAGCCGTCCCGCCCGCCAGGTCCCCGGGGTGAACCTCCGCTGGGGGGGCACTACTCACGGCAGAGGTGACTCCACCAGGGCATGGTGCTCCCGGGGCCCGCCTGGCAGGTGCTGTTCTACAGGGGCCCGGGAGGCCCAACCTTCCCCTCCCGGTTGCCCCATCGCGGGGTGGAGACTGTTGGCCGCCAGGGGCTAAGCTGCTGACGACAGCGCCCCCTGGGGGCCACCAAGCGCGTCACAGAGGGGAGCCCGCAGGTGGCCCGGCGCATCACCCCAGTGGGGTCCCTTTAAGCCCAAGCACACTCAGGGCCGATGCCACTTGGCATGCTGCTCTGTGAGCCTCGCCCCTGCGGGCCCGAGCGGCCTCTGATCCGCACTCCATCAGGCAGAGCGCTGGCGGAGCGCGTGCCCTAACCCTCTGCTCTCAGAACGTGAGTCCACAAGCCAGCAGGAGACTCCAAAGCCCGGGCATGGCCTGAGCCCAAGCACGCCTTTGCTAGGTCGTAAGAGCTTTAATTTGAGTATTATTAGCACAAGGGCTGGGACCTCGTGCACGTTCCCATCACACAGTTATCATTTATAGTCATACGTTAAGTCTGTGTGTATAAGTGGTCATGTGACTTGGCCACTGTCAAATGGGAGGTGTGTGGCATCCCTGGTGGGCCAAAGACTGGCAGGGGAGCAAACCACAAATCTTATTTTAAAAGAAACACTAATTCCATATTTTTCAAAGTGTCAAAATTCTTATTTTTCATAAGTCATAACTTTTTATAGTTTGTAAATGCCACTTATGACAAGAAGTATTTACACATGTTAACTCCCATACTTACATGGGAAAATTGCTATATGTCTAATGTGGCTAGCAATTTAAATTTCATTTCAGTATAAAAAGCTGGGTGTTTTTTTTCATGGTTACTCTCATGCTTTAAAGGAAAAAAAAGGAAGGAAGAAAGAAAGTACACATATCCTACCCACCCACTCACAGATTCAGAAGAGTACGTGACCAAGTCTGTGAGGGACAGATAGACATGGGGTGCCACACCCTGAGAAGGACAGACCCATGGCCACACCCCA